TAAGTTGACAAGTTCCATGTGCCTGTAATTTCACCAGTACCCTTACCCTTCTAAACCGGAACGCAGTAATGGTGACATTACTGCATGGCGGCAGAAATACGTAAATGGCAGTACTTCCCTGGACGAACTCTTTCACAAGGAGCTCTACTGCTGCTAAAATAATAAGTAATAGCACAAAAAAATGTGTGTATGAAATTTTATAACTGTCCAATTTTAGCATAAAGCAGTCATCGAATATTTTCGTTTGTAGAATCTTTAACCTTCTCTCTTGAAAAGTTGTCATTTTGCATGTGTGTCCTTATTACACTAAGGGTGCAAATTTACTAATTTTTGTTATTTTGTATATATACAGCAGAAAAGCGAAATAGAACTTTGTTGGTGACATACTCGAGAACACTCTTAATACGGGAAGTGCGTTCTGCATCATGAAAAAGTACCTGTTTAATGTCGTATTGGTCGGCATCAAGCCAAAAAGGGCCCACAGAAAACTTAGGGTGAAGAACGAGCCGCTTGACGCTTCGCTCGACGCCGCTGCCGTCGTCCGTCTGGTTGGTCCCCGCCAGCACGTAGGGCCAACTCGTGTGTAACGAGCTGCGTAAAGTCGTGAAATAATAATAATTTCGAGTTCTAAGGTTTTCGCGATTGTTACACATAGGAAATGAAGCTATTTTTCCGGATTTAAATCGCGTATATTTGTTTTTTCAAACAAACCTTTAGGTTTTTTTGAAAAAACAAATATATTATATTATATTATATTTCCTATAATAATATTTTCATTAAAAATAATCTACAGTACGTGTGGCGCACTATAAATTTCCGGAATGAATAAGAAAAAAATACTATAAATGATCAGAAATGAATTTAGTGTTTCTCAAAATATTCTTCGTTAGCGTTAATGCGCTTTTTCTTACGAATGAACGAATTTTGAAAACATTTATGCCACTCCACCGTGACAATCTCTGAAACATATTTTTCATACTCTTCGACAGTCTCTTCAGGTAATGAAAATCGTTGACCGCATAACTTGTTCCTAATTTTTGGAAATAAATAAAAGGTGCCATGTCGGGACTGTACGCGGGATGGCTAATAAGGTCAACGTTGCTCACCTTCAAAAATTAATTGTAAATGTCTGTCTGGCGGTGTGAGAACTGGCGTTATCGTGGTGCAAGATGATACGGCGTTTACGGTTATTTTTACGGAGTTTGTCAATAACTTCCGGCAAACAAATAACCGTGTACTAATCACTATTCACGGTACAACAATTCTCTAAAGCAACAGTAGCCACGTGACCAGTTTTATTAAAAAAATAAGTAATCGTCCGCTTAGAGGCACTTTTCACGCGCGCCACTTTGGTTGGTTTCGGCTCATCTTGAAAGACCCATATGCTCGATTGCTGCTTTGTTTTGGGATCGTAACTATAAATCCATGTTTCGTCACCTGTTACTATGTCCCACACTAAATTTGACGCCCCTTAGTTGAATCTGGTAAGCATGGCATTGCGCCAAGTGACGCGATCCGTTTCTTGAACCTCAGTCAAATTGTGTGGGATCCACCGAGAGCACAGCTTTTTCACACCCAAATGTTTGTGTAGTATTAATTGTATTTGACTCATGCCTATGCCTAAAGATGCCCGAATCTCATAGTATGTCACATGCCTGTCTGTTTTGATCATACGGCGCACAGCTTAACTGCCTCTGTGACCGAATGGTTACCATGCTGCCACGCAGAGGTCCCAGGTTCAATTCCCGGGCAGGGAGAAATATTTGTATGGCCTACATTTATTTCTTTCATGAGTTTGGGTGTAATTTGTGGTTGTCTATATGTGTGTCCATGGCACCCGCGATACAGGGTTTCCCTAGTGAGGGTCTATATTGAGTATGTGCGTTATATATACAACAACGATGTTTTTGTTGTTCACAGCAGTGTACGGGCGACCATCACTAAATTCGTCACTGAGACTCACACGGCCGCGTTTGAATTCTGCAAACCAGTTATAAATAGTCGTCTTGCGTGGCGCTTCATCGCCAAAAGCTGTTTGAAGCCAAACGAAGGTCCGCTAAGGCGTTCATTACACTTAAAGTCGAAGAAAATCAAGTAGACAACAAATTCCTAAAATGACGCCACAATGTAAAAACAAGTGACAGTCAAATAAAACAAACTGTATTCTAAGCCTATTCTGGATCCTGCTGTTAACGCATGAATAACCACTTCGTCCCCGATTTGGGTTTGTTGCATTGTGGTTGCTCTTAATTCAATTTGTCATAATTTCCATCCAGCGTCAGTTCTTTACTTATTCAAGATCTATACACTTGTTGGTGGAGTAATCGCCAACCATCTCTGTTTAGCACCCTAACTTTAAGTTCATAAAGAACCCAAAATTAATATTAATGTAAAGTTCTGTTTGTGTCATCCTTGCTACAGAGTCAAGAGCACGTCAAGCTCAAGATTTAAATTCAACTCTATACCGCATTCTTCGATACTAATACCTACATTGAGCTGTATTCGAGAAAAACGGTCCAAAGTGAGTTTGTAACTATAAATTGTACTACAAATGTGTCAGTAATATGGTATGGATAATTTGTTACTATTTTGGTAGCTGTAAAGGTACCTGCTTCAGTGCAGAAATAGATTTATCACAGATGGCGCTACGGTAAATCAAAAATCGTTTAAAACCAAAAACAAAAATCTGCTAACAAGCACATAGAAAAATTCGTAAGGTCAGCTAGTTCGTTACGTGGCTTATTTGGTATAGCGTCTGGCACATTTTGCTCGAAAACGCTGGTTCGAAATAATTTTTTTTAGTGTTCGATCTTCGTATTAATAATTATAAATACTAGCTATTACAAAGTACTGGAGTAATTTCACAAAAACAATTAAATATCATGGTGGTCAAATATCGTGACATTCAATAAAAAAAGTTTGAGCGTATATTAATTTAAGGTGGTGCTCACTTAGATTGGGATCCGTTGTATGAATGAGTCACTTTTACCTCGAAAGTTTTTTGTCCGAAGACATTTTATGCGCTTCTCAAAAACCAAGACTTGGTTCAACTATCTGTTAAAGTAATTAATAACGTCCTGTGTGAAAACACCGTACAAATAAAATGTAGCTTTCGTCTACATACATAGTCATAGATGACTTTTAAAGCCTAATTATAATAAATAGTCTTGCATGACTACAGATACATTAAATATGTTTGGCTTACCAATGTGCAGCAGTTAGAATCCATTTAGCGCTGATAATAGACCCACCACAAGTGTCTCCGAAGAGAACAGCATGTGGAAACCGTTCGTTCACGGGTTTCGTAACCTCTAAATTCTTCGTTTCTTCCACTTTTTCTGTAGAAGAAGCTACAACATCTGTTGTTGTCTCAGTTTCTTTGGCCACTGTCAAAGAATTTCTAATATCGTTGTTGGCATCGGGTTTTACATGCCCGTTCTTGCTGCTGGTAACTTCATTCGCTGTAAGCAGAATTATTGCGGTGATAATAATGAGGAAAGAACTAAATTTCCTTGCCTAGGAAACTCGACCACTAATTGCGCAATCGTTATCGCCATTATCAACCAGTAGTAATTTGCTTTACTGCCAAGGAAGTGTATAGTTTGTCGGCAAAGAGTCACTTATAGTTACCGAGAAGAAATTATTCCACGCTTGTATTCCTATTGTAAGAAATAAAATAATTCTCACATGGTTGTTTGGGAACGTCTGTTATATCGTTGCCGGGTCGCGCACGGGCACTGGCGACAAACGCGAGTGCCGTGAGCACTGCTAACCACTTGCGAGAGTCCATGGCACTGGTGCAACCTGAGTCCGCGCACAAGGCGCTTTATACATGGGTCATCATCACTTCTAACGAGGAAATAATTGCAGGGTAATGAGATCCATTGACATTATCTAAATATTTTAAAATAAAGTGTGTGTAAAATATAAATTCTATTTCTATAATTTTCTGTCGTGATTGTCGAATATTTGGTATCCGACCATGTGCGCTGCACTGCTGTTTGTTTGAAAAAGAGGCAAGTTTGGCCCCTACCAAACTTGCCTCTTTTTCAAACAAATATTAGTCTCCCCTCTTTACCACCTTCAATGTCGACACAGTTTTTCGCCGCCCCGTTGCAGGCCATGATCAAATCTTTTTGTCTTGTTTTAAATCCCGCTATCATATCTCAATTTTTTCCGTTTCCTTCCTCACTCCCTTAATCACCTTTGCCTACAATACGCCGTAATACTACTACAATAGCAAGTAAGCTAATTCCGCGGTAGTTTGTGCATACTTGCTGCTGCTCTTTTGTACGATGATAGCCTTGCATCAGTTTCCTGGCACTTGACGTTTATATAACAAAGTTTTAAAGGCGTACAGATGATTAGCTATCAAAGCCTTCATATATCTATAGAAATTCTATCAAATTCGACTTTATTTGTTTGCATACTTTTCTCGCTTCTGTAATCTCTTTATTGCTTATACTTACGTCTTCACTTCCATTAGTCTCCACGGAGCTCATTTTTGTCTCAAACTTTTAGAATACTCATATTCTTCTCATATCCTTTATATAGATATTTCACCCTGTGATTATTGTAATTTTGCTGAGTGTTCTTATGAACTTCCAAAATAACTTAACCTTCATTCGAAGGCCGTCAGATAACCTTCTGTTAAACTCTCTTCCCTCTGCTGTCCATTTTTCTGTTTTTTTTTAATCGAGACATTATTGGTGCGTGGCGAACCATATTAGTGCAGTATTAGACACATAGGCTAACTTAACAGCAGCATTAGCTTTTAGCAGCAGTAGAGCTCCTTGTGAAAGAGTCCATGAAAGCACTGCCACTTTACCTATTTCTGCCGCCAAGCAGTAATGTAAGCATTACTGTGTTCCGGTTTTGAAGGGTAAGGGTGCTGGTGAAATTAGAGGCACATGGGACTTGTCAACTTATGTCTCAGGGTGACGGGCGCAGTGGTAGTGTCCCTAAGATCTTTGCGATTTGAAGCTTTGAGTGGAACTGCAACTGTTACGGATAGGCGTGTCGCTTACCACCAGGCGCACCACTTGTTCGTCTCTTCTCTTGGTATTATAAAAAAACTTATCACTAAGAAAATACATCTACACTCGAAAAATAAATAAAATAAAAGTTTTACGATTCCGTTTGTACGGAGTGTGACATATACTTTGAATCGATTTCTTCGTTCAACTCTATACGTTGATGAAAGGACTAGAAATAAAACAAGATGCGAATTTAAATAAACTTTAATACTCTCTTCAACGTCTACAGTTCAAAAATTTCGATCAATGATCTTCAATTCTATTATTAAATCCGAGATAAGTGCAATAACAGAGTTGATTCCTTGAAATCTAAAATAATAAATACTGACATATTGCTTTTCAATATCTCTACTTTATAATTTGTATAATGTGAAATAATGCAGAAAATGGAATATAGCAGCGATTTAAAAATATTTGCTTGGTATTTTTGTTGACAATAAAAAAATTATATTAATATTGCTACGTGAAAACAGAGACTGGGTAGAAGCTTTTTCAATTAACATCACTTAATTTCTAAGTTTAAAAAACATGGTCTAAGATATAAGTAAAGATTTTATCGTATATTTTATTGGAACGTAATTAATGAACTAAAAATAGTAACTGAGGAAGTAACTAATTATAACAAGTACCGGTTAACATGTTTTACGTATGATAACAATGTTTTTATTATTTTAAATTGTAAATAATTGATATAGACAAGTTCAAGTGTAACGATATCTACAATTTATAATTTGACCACTAGATAAAATAACATTTTTACCTACTTCAAAGTCATTTCAAAATATACACAATTTGTCGTTTGGCTTCGGTTTTTCGCACAGAATATATTTTATGAGTGTTCTATTGTATATACGAGAATGAAAGACCGCTTCCAAAAATATAAAGTAAATGTGACGGTATTTATTGTTGCTGTTAGCCTGGTAGAAGCCGAACGCGACGAATCGGCCACGTGGCGGAGGCCGGGGGCACATGACCCTCGACACAACTAGTAAAAAATCTCAAGTACACTTCGTTTTCTCTAAAACTCTACCTTCGTAATAAATTAATAATTAAAATAATAGAATTTTGACAAAAGTAGATCCAATAAAGTAGTCAAAAAATTGCAATAAAAATGTTCAACGATTAGGTGATTTTTAATTTTACAATGTAAAATTTAATTAATTCAAACATTTTTTCAGCTACTTTTGTCAAATTTCTTAACAATTGTCTATTTATTGCTTGTAGTCTACCTAACTACGCAAACTACAGCTATGTCTAGTTGGCGGAAGGAATGATGAGCGAACGGAGTGGTGCTCAAAGAATGTTCAAGACTCTATCGCGACGTGAACGCAACGCGACGCCTTCCGAAGTAAAGTCGAGAAGCGCACAACACGGAGATATAAAAATATAACGATTGGTCACCGAAAATATTATAATACTTCTACAATTTATGTAAATAACAACGAAGACTTTTAAAGAATCCATAGGATTACAAGTTTAAGTCAGTAATAATAAAGTACGATAAAAAGTAGCATCTCAAGTTTATGTACAAATAGCCAAGTCCGTATTTTTTTGATGATAGTAAGTATATTGCTTGTAAAGTAATTGACAATCATGATGTTCAAGATGGTATCGTCATAGAAAATACGTATTTTTAAAGCATTCACGAAGATCGTTCAAGATTCAATTTTCAATAGATAGAACCAGTAAAGTGACACGAATACAAGGAAATAACATGATGCGGGATACCTAACGTACCGTTTGGTGTTATTAAATTTTGCGAGGAATAGATTAATGTTGATTTAAATTGTACCTTTATGCGAGTGTTCAACGAGATGACATAACTGCTAAGATTTCTTCTAGTGAAACTTGTGATATATAATGGCGAATCTATTAACGCATCATGAACTAGATTAAAACCGCGCTAGAGGGAAATCGCCTAATATCTATTTAGTAATGGCGTAGTCTACAAAAATCGTTAAAGTGATGGCTTCTTGAAAACAATATCATTAATTGTACTCATAAACTTACCGCTAATTTTACAGCTATATCAACGAAGTGACGGAACTACCTATCGTTATTCAACTAGTTATTGTAGTCGCCGATACTTGAGGCAACGTATTAATTCTATGGGTAGGCCGTGGTATTGTCAACTAGCAATTTACGTTTATCTTCCATTGTGTAGTCGAGTTGAATCACTTTTAAATCGTGGCTCATTTCTTACTTATACTATGTAAGTAACTTAGAATTCGAAGTAGGTATTTGTTGTTCTATTTACCTTACTTCATATACATATTCATTTACGATTTTAAACGAAGTAATTGAGCTCATACTGATTCAACGTTGGAATGTTTTAATCTTTAGCAGTATTATAATAAGGCTTGCAACATGCTATTGGGAACTTTACGGGGCGGTTTGAACTAAGTACATATTATGTGTAATCAGCGTTAGGGCTGTCTCTTAGAATCTCATCTTAGATTAGACGGTAAACTGCCAGACTGTAGATATGTTTATAATACGTATCCGAAACTGACATTTCGATTTCCTTATCCACGTACGTATAGCTCTATAAATGAAGGCAAGGACTGTGCGTTTCCAACTACGTCATTTGCCTTTACATTTGCATTGACGCGCATGAACGCTAATGCATCTAAGAAATATTCGGAATGTATGCTTATCACAGTAGCTCACATTGAATTTTAATCTGAACTTGGCCGATATTTGCAATATTCAAATAAAACTTTGATAATTTTAAATACAGATGATTTTTACGTTTGCAACTCTTGCGAGAATTTAATTCCATTGCAGAAGTATTTTACGACACTTTGGAAGCAATAACACGTATAATAACATCTTAGAAATTATACAGAGAAGTTCTTCGGTGTAGTTCATTATTTTGTTTTAATCTGCCTTGTATGTATGAAAAGCTTCAGTATGTCCTATCACAATTATTGCACAGCAACAAAACATCCAATCGATCACATCACTTGCATCAATCGACGTCCATTGAATTTCTTGTCAATTCCCTTTAATACTGAAAAAGCAATTGACTTATATTTGTGAGGACGATCGATGGTACAGTCGACCGAAGGGCTTAAAGCAAGTGTCGCAGCGCGGTGTTGAGAGCGCATGGGGCGACTGGGCGCGCAGGAGTTGAGATCAGCGGCGGCGGTGGCGGTCGTCAGAGCTGACGCAAGGGCGCGCGGCAGTCCACGCGCGCCATCCACGCGATGTCTCGCGTCGTCACCTGCAACCATCGGAAGGCCATGAATGAAGGTATTTATATATATCTAGCGTAAGGCGTAATTAAATAGAAGGCTCGGTCCACATGAAATTTAATTGTACAAATAAAGAAAGAGAAGTTAGAGGAATGGAAAAAATCAGTCTGTTACAAAATATAATGATATAAATACACGTACAATCATATAAAAACACTCCCTCCTTAAATTAAATACAGGTTTACAGGTTAGACGTGGTAAAAATCAACTTACCTCAAAAGGGCCTGTATTTACCACAAATATTATGCTTTACAAGCAGTTAGGTTACATTATTTTCATTGGTATAACTGGTCAGGATTTTATATAAAGTCGAGCACGTGTGCTAGCTTCGGAAATTTAGTAGACTGTGCAACGGAATAAGAAAAGTAAGTGACGAAGAAAAGGAATTAAAGAATGATTCGAAACTTCAAAGTAGGTGGCCAGGAACCAGAGAAATTGGTGAAAAAAAAGAGAAGAAAGAGGTCGCATCGTCACAAACAAACAGTTTCTGGATAAGATATGACCACATCAATGGAATTCGCATGAGAAAAGTCACTGATGTTGGAATACGTATAATGCGACACATCGGTAGACGAACAAAGGGACGAACAACAGTCAACACAGTCGCAGTCCCTATTTGATGAGCTGATCAGCAGTGCTCCCACAATGGTCTGTGCTGTACCACCCTCCTGTTCAGAACCAATCACCAGTGATCTGACTTGTGAAAGTAACTCATTTAATTCAACAGCTTTAGCTTTAAATTGTAGTAAAAAAAATTAAAAAAGTATGTCAAAATTAATAAATACATATCCAGTACAAATAAATTAATAAAGAAAAATGCAGCATTTTGTAAAAATGTATCATTAAGAAAAGAACGTCAGAGTTTGTTGAATGAATTGAGTGATTGTACACAAAATCTTGAGAAAAATAGGCTTAGCTATGAATGTGACACACAGCGCCTCCAGGCAGAATTACATAGTGTAACAAATTCATTAAAATTAATAACACAGAAATATGAAACTGCGCAACAGGAGATTAAGGAGCACACACATGCTATGGATAATTTATTAGATTTGTGTAGATATAATAATGACAGATTTGACTCTTTAACAAATAATCAAGTTTGCAATTGCAAAGAAATAAAACCACAATCCTCCCTGTCTGTGTGTGTCACTAATCCCTCCTCATTGTTGTTGCAGGAATCTAGTTTAGAATCAAAAAATACCTCTTTGTCAATAACTAGATCAAATGAAATTCAAAATAATATAGTTATGTATAGTGATGAAATGGGTAAAAATATAGGTTTGCAACTTAACCACCTAGGATTAAAATTAACAAATATTTGCATGCCAGGTGCAACATACTGTAAAATATTAGATAGTATTTTGTCAACTAAGTTTGACAAAGACACTACATTAATAATTTTAATTGGCAGAAGAGGAAAATGTAACAAAAAAGATTTAATACAATATTTTTCACAATTAAATAATTTAATTAATATAAAAGAAATTATTTTGTTAGCTTTTCCCTTCAGCAATTGCCTCACAACAAGTGAAAATAATTTGAGGCATAACTTAAATAGGACATTACACAGCTTGACATTTCATTATAGTAAATTTCATTTTATGGATACTAATAATTTTATTAGTAAATATTTTTATTTGACTAAAGATAGGTATTATCTTACTAGTTATTTTAGGAGACAGATAGCAGAGATGCTATCATATCATATTAATAATTCAGCCAAATCATTGGCTACCAGACCGGCTGCTTCTATTGAGCAGTCCGTTGACATAGGTCAGTTTACTGACAATAATAATTCTGTTGAAATTAATTCAATTTCTAATTATTTAAATTAATTAATAAGACAACGGAGAGATACTCTTGCAACACATTGACAGTAAGAAACCAACCTAAAACACACAGAAATAAAATAAATTTTATATTAAACCTGGTGCACCAAAATATTCAAGGCATGAAAGGCAAAGAGCTAGAAATAGAATTATTTATTAACTGTAACAATATTGATATTCTTTGTATTACTGAACACCACTTTCTATCGCAACATCAGTTCATGTTTAGCTTCAACAATCACCAGGTGGCTAGTTCGTTCAGCAGAGAAAAAGCTATTCATGGCGGCTCTTTAATTCTTATTAAAAATAATTTAAAATTTAAAGAACGTACAGATATTGTGAGCCTATCTATTGAGCGGACTATAGAGATATCCTGCATAGAGCTTGAACGGCTTGTTATATTAAGCGTGTACAGACCCCCTCATTCATCTTACGAACTATTTGAAAAAAGATTAGATGAAGTTTTAGCCAAATTAAATAATATAAATAAATATATTGCTGTTTGTGGTGACTTCAATGTTAACTTATTAGAAGATTCCAGTGCTAGCAGTAGGCTCATATCATTTTTCCAATGTTATAACCTTGTGAATCTTTTTTTGGTGCCTACTAGAATAACTTCTACTACTGCCACTTGTTTAGACAATATTTATACCAACGCCGTACCTAGTAATAAATCTATTATAAATAAATTAACTTCAGATCACTGCGGTCAATTGGCCACTTTTAATATAACTGTTGACAAAATGCCGAAAAAGGATATCACATGTGTTCCGATAAATAATGGTCGACTTAAAGCTTATAGAAATAACGTAATGCTTAAACTAACTGACATTCCGTACGTTAACGATCCCAATAAATTGTATAATTCAGTTTTCAACATAGTGAAAAGTGAACGTGATAATGTTTTTAAGTCCAAAATCATAACTATTAATAATTCATTGAAATTTAGTGAATGGGCGACTGTGGGAATTCACAAAAGTAGACAAAGGCTGTATGATCTTTACGATGAAAGAACTTATAACACTAGTAACAGTTTTAATGATTTTGTTAGGAAATATTCGAAAATGTTTAAACGTGTTTGTGTGGCAGCCAAAGCAATGTTTATTAATAATAAAATAAAAAGCAGCGCGAATGTAGTAAAAACGACTTGGAATATTATAAATAGCGAAACTGGAAGGGTCAAACCTCGTAACTTAGATTTTCAACTAAGATTTAATGACAAAATTGTAAACACAGACGCAGAAGTTGCTAAAATATTTGAAAATTTTTTTACCAACATTCCAATTTTGACTACTAATTCGTTAAATTCATCTCCCACGGCCGCTGAATCCTTACTAAAAGAAAATAATGCAGTTAGTAGCACTAATTTAAGGTTCCGTCATGTATTTCCAAACGATATTGTTAAAGCCTTTAAGTCTATAAATATAAAAAATACTGCTGATCTTGATGGTCTTTCAGTCAGAGTAATTAGTTCTATAGTTGATTGTATTGCGCCTTACTTAGCCTGTGTCTTTAATAAATGTGTTGATGATGGTGTCTTTCCTGACCTCATGAAGCAAAGTAAAGTTATTCCACTTTTCAAATCTGGTAGTATTTCTGACCCCACCAATTTCAGACCTATATCAATACTACCAACTCTCAGTAAAATATTTGAAAAAATTATTCTAAATCAGATGTGTGCACATTTTTATAGTAATAATTTAATGTCTCCTAAACAATTTGGTTTCACTCGGGGTCGCTCTACAACCGACGCTGGTGTAGAGTTGATTAATCATATATTTGATGCATGGGAAGTCTCACATGATGCTATTGGTGTATTCTGTGACCTTTCCAAGGCTTTTGATTGTGTGCACCATGATACACTGGTCAGGAAACTTCGCCATTATGGTGTGGCGGGACGTGATCTCGACCTTCTTAAATCGTATTTGCGTGGTAGGGTACAGAGGGTCGATGTTAACGGTACGAGATCGTCAGGGTCTGTAATTAGCATGGGTGTCCCTCAAGGTTCAATTCTAGGCCCATTTTTGTTTTTAGTTTATATTAATGATTTACCTAGCCTTATGGAGGGTATAAATCATGAGATAGTATTGTTTGCTGATGATACTTCCTTATTATTTAAAGTTAAAAGGCACCAATGTTCCTATGACGATGTGAACAATGCTATATCTAAAGTAGTTGATTGGTTTGCTGTTAATAACCTACTTCTTAATGAGAAAAAAACAAATTGTGTGAAATTTACATTACCCAATGTTAGAGAGACGGTTACAAACATTGTAGTTAGAAACGAAAAATTGAATCTTGTGGATACAGTTGTATTTCTAGGTATAACGTTAGATGCTAAATTGCAATGGGGTCCCCATATAAGTAAGTTGTCAAAACGGCTCAGCTCTGCAGTGTACGCGATTAAAAAAATAAGGAAACTTTCAGACGTCGAAACCGCTAGATTGGTTTACTTCAGCTACTTTCACAGTCTAATGACATACGGCATTTTGCTTTGGGGTAATGCCGCCGATATCAATAGAATCTTTGTCCTGCAGAAACGTGCAGTTAGGGCAATTTACAATCTGGGCCCCAAAGTATCTTTGAGAGATAAGTTTAAGGAAATTAACATTCTTACACTAGCCTCACAATACATTTATGAAAATATAATTTATGTTAAAAGGAATAGTAATTTCTTTATGAAAAATAGTGACAGACATAACATTAATACGAGGAATAAAAATAAACTAGCTTTTCTTGATAGTCGTCTTCACAAAGTCAAACAATCATTTAAGGGGCAATGTATACGCTTCTATAACAAGATTCCGGTTGATATACAAAATTTGCCTTTCACGAGGTTTAAAACTATAGTGAAACAAAAACTTTATACTAAAGGTTATTATACAACTTCTGCGTACTTGGATGACAAAAATCCGTGGTAGTAACCCGTTTAGCTCATGGAGGTAGTCTCAATCTGATGTTTCAAATAAAAAAATATTGTATATAATAATGTTATTTACAAAGAGCAACCCCTAGAGTTTCTTGCTCATTCTTCTCAGGGGAATCTGCCTTACGAATGAGCGGTAGAGTTTAACCATTGTGACGATTTCAAGTGTAATAATGCTTACCTATGAAATAAAGATTATTTTGATTTTGATTTTGATTTTGGATGGCGACGCTACGATAAACTTGATAGAATGCGAAATACAGGAGAAATAATAAATCAAGATGATTAAGTATTGAGGATTACCTGGTGCATAGAATAGACGGCGAGCACAACGAGCACGTGCATAATGTTGTGAGAGTTGAGGCAGCGGTCCACCGTGCCAGGGAACCATTTCTCCGGGATATGCATGGCGCCGATTACGCCGCCGCCCAGTGACACTGCGTCCTGAAAAAAGTTATCGTTACATTATAGAAAGGTTCATGAACTTACTAATAGAAATAACGATAACCACCTAAGAAATTATGACTACATTCCAAAAGCATGCTCAAATAATTTTTACGATTTTTTCATCAGTTATACGAAAGACTGCGCCTCGAGCCTTTCTACAGGGGAATCTCATTAATAAATATTAAAATGGACTTTCCCAGTTGTTACTAACACTAAGTTATTTTGATACTAACACTATGGATTCGGAGTCTTACTCTCAAGTGATTACTAGGTCGGTGATGTGATGACTCAAAAATGTTTAGGCGTGTTGTTTACATTAATTTATATTGGAATTACAGGGATAAAGTTGATGTTTGCAAGGTGTTTTGATAGTGTATTAATGTCAGCTCGATAGGTGCTTGTATAGTGTGGTACAGCTTTAAACATGAAGCCGTAGTGTAAATCGCCATAATATGCTTTGCATTGATCCTGTTACGTACACACGCAAGTGAGCTATTGTTAGCCCTGTCCTCTGGTTACAGTTTTGTTTTCAGCTAAATTCGGTTCAGTAATTTTAATACAAAGATTTACTATTTATGTTACAATGCGTATCATCGCTTTTAAGTAATAACATGACACACAGTGTATCGTCCCCATTATCGACGGAATTAACTTAAAATTTTGACGGAACAAGACAAACATACTTTGATGTGAAATTTTAGGATGTGTGTGTAAATTTGTATGGCCAACATTTATTTCTCTCGTGAGTTTGGGTGTAATTTGTGGTTGTATATGTGTGTATCTATGGCATCCGCGACACAGGGTTTCCCTAGGGAGGGGCTATGTTGAATATGTGCGTTAAGAAAAAAAATGTGTAAAATTTCGTCCAAATCTTAAAAAGTCGTTCTAGTATGACATAGAGTAGGCTATATTCAGTGTTTTTGTCAACGGCACTAGTATCCACAACTAACTTTTCTACTTTAATTTGGGTATAACCACAGCACTAATAAATCACAACCGTCAAGTCGTAAACGTGTGACCCATAAAGTTGTCCAAATATTAAATTCCCTTATTATTCCGGCCGTACCCTTAAAACTATTGTTAGAGGTCCGCTAGACGGTTTGTACAATCTAACTAAAGATATTTGGTAGAGTTATTACGGGAAAGCCGCGATGGCCGGGCGGGCGAATCAATTTATTATTTGTGCAAGCCTGGTTTGTGTGCCTTGTTTGGCGCCGTGCCAGTTTCTTTGTAGACATAAAAACTGAAATAGTAACTCAACGTTAAGTTTTAATTCATAGAATATAAAGTATAAAAGTGATTGTGTGTTACTATACTAACCCACTATTTACGTACAGATTTGTCATGTATGTTTGTGCCAAAAAATAACTTTAAACTTCGTATATTATTGCGATTCAGGCGAGTCAGTTTTTACTTTGAAAAATATTTTTCCTAAAATAACAAAAAAAAGATCTCACCGTTTCGGTGGTTTAATTTTGTAATATCAGTCTATGATATAGAATTTTACAAATCATATTTCATCGTGTTTTAAACCAAAACCTCCTCCACCGCTTTTTCCCTTTGTCTTTCCAATTTTATCTTTCAAACTGCCTCCGTGGCCGAACGGTTACCATGCCTGCCTGACATGCAGAGGTCCCAGGTTCGATTCCCGGGCCGGGAGAAATATTTGTATGGCCTACATTTATTTCTTTCGTGAGTTTGGGTGTAGTTTGTGTTTGTCTATGTGTGTGTCCATGGAACCCGCGACACAGGGTTTCCCTAGTGCGGGTGCTATGTTGGCAATCAGACATATTTTTTTATTACTAAGCACACGGTTTCTCTAAGTATTTTTTCTACTCGGCAAAGCCTCGTGGCCTAAACACGGTACTCGACTTTAAGACCCTCATTATGTAGCGATTGCCTAAAATACCATTATAGACGAGTAGAGGAACTCTTAGTGCAAAGCTCTAAATACGGCCAATTGTTCAACAACGCTACAACCGAAGTTGACTTCACATCATCAGCTTATATGCATCCACTGCTGGACATAAGCCTCACGTTGAGCAGGCCAATTGTCCCGGTCTTGTGTCGCCCGCATCCAGCCGCTGCCCGCTACCTTTCTCAGGTCGTCCGTCCATCTTGCCGCAGAGCGTCCACACTACGTTTTCCTTGACATGGTCGCCATTCCAGAACAAGTCTGCTCCATCGGCGATCAACCCTCCTCATAGTTGACTTATTAATATAGAAAAAAAACCTTGATGCCGAATTCATCGTAGACTTCCACATACATAACTAAGGAAAACGTGTAATGATTTATCATTACTAATTTTAAAATTGGTAACCAAAATTAAATTATCTTTTACTATTAATATTAGTATATTTTTACTTTTACAGTTATATTTAAGTACCTATTTTTTATTAAATAGGCTATTTACGACAATGAATATTAAATAAAGAATAATATTGATATTTTATGGACTGTAATTTTGGAATGTCAAATTTTGATAAAGCACTTGATAATTTTTTATGTTAAGAGGCGTATGACGACGGCGAGACAGTGTATAGGTATTACGTTATTAATATTAGGCCTCACACTCACAATATTATATGTCGTATTATGCTAAACTTTTATAAACAACAGCCACGACTTTGCCAAAAGAAAGTTACATTTCAATCAAATCTCTTTGAGAAATATACGAGTAATATTAGATTGTCTTAGACAAAATATATTTAATTTTTACTAAATGCTCCACACCTTGGTTAATTTAAAAAAGAAACTTTGTTTTTCTCCTCCTACATTTCTTCGGTGTTCCAAATTTAAATAAAATGAATAATTAGAAAGTTTATCGCGTACCAAAAAGATGATGTACGTTTCACTGAAGTTATAACGTCACATTTTCCTTATTTTATCTAGTAGACAAAGATTGATAAACTTTTAACTTCATCCGAGTACTTAGTACGTCATACATACAAGTGCTTCTAAGCGGATGATTAGTTCTTTTTTTAATAAAACTGGACACGTGGTTACTGTTGCTTTGGAGAAACGTTGTACCGTGAATAGTGATTGGTACACGACCATTTTTTGCCGGAAGTTATTGACAAACTCCGTAAAAATAACCGTAAACACCGTATCTCTTGCACCACGATAATGCCTGTTCTCACACGGCCAGACAGACAAATGAATTTTTGAAGGTGAACAACGTTGACCTTATGAGCCATCTCGCGTACAGTCGCGACCTGGCACCTTGTGACTTTTATTTATTTCCAAAAATTAAGAACCAGTTACGCGGTCAACGATTTTCATCACCTGAAGAGGCTGTCCAAGAGTATGAAAATTATGTTTCAGAGATTGTCACGGAGGAGTGGCATAAATGTTTTCAAAATTGGTTCATTCGTCTGAAATAGTGCACTAACGCTAACGGAGAATATTTTGAGAAACAATAAATTCATTTCTGACCATTTATAGTATTTTTTTCTTATTCATTCCGGAAACTTGTAGTGCGCCTCACGTATATAACATAAATACAAAAACAAATTTTTAAAAAGGCCTATAGGTAAGAGTCTAGAATATTATCTCTTACAGCAATATAATCTAATACTAAAATGTTAACAATAAATAAAGTTCAACAAATAAATAGGTGAATAACATTTGCCTTCCTTGTACTTATTTTCTTAAAGAATTGGCATACTTGGTAGCTCTTTGAATGAAAGTGAACATGTTTGAATAACGCACACACTCAACATAGCCCCGCACTAGGGAAACCCTGTGTCGCGGTTGCCATGTACACACACATAAACAACCACAAATTATACCCAAACTCACGAGAGAAATAATTGTAGGCGATACAACTATTTTTCCCGGCTCGGGAATCGAACCTGGGACCTCTGCGTGGCAGTCCGGCATGGTAACAGTTCGGCCACGGAGGCAGTATCTTCTAATTTAGTCAACTGACGACAAGACTACATACTATGTTTACGTCCTCAGTTTTAAAAATACTTCACTACAGTCGATACATTCTTTCGATATTTGGTAGCTTTATTTTCCCTTTGAAATTTTTGCGTATCTTTATTATTTCGACATTTTTGTATGAACGCGTTTTCCACGAACTTATCATTCTCACTGTCTACGTTGTTGTTCGAAACTTTCCTCTTAGCAGGTTATTCTTTAACTTCATTTGTTCTTTTGTACTCCTTCGTTTTCATACTTTACAAAAAATTGGATCAGTTCATATGAAATTATATATTTATAATTTTTGAAATTATATATATATATATATATTGCATTAACGCTAACGGAGAATATTTTGAGAAACAATAAATTCATTTCTGACCATTTATAATATTTTTTTCCGGAAACTTATAGTACGCCCCACGTACAAGGTGGTATGTACACTTTTGTTATTTTAATTATGCAAATATTTGTTTGATGCTCATGTAAAGTAACTTTGTATTATTTTTATGGATTTTTCTTACGGATTTGTGAACATAGATAATATTATGTATCGACTTATAAATCTCTTTCTTTTCATCGAAAGTTAGAATTAAAAACTATATTTATATTCAATATATCTTTCTTTACCGGGCCTGTAGCAGTCGGTACTCTTATAGATTCAACGGTATTAATATATTGAATCAATTTCCTTTTCATCTGCCTCCCGCTCCCGATAAGCGTGAGGCGTAAGTTTATTAGTGAAAATGTATACAGCTTATATATGAACCCTTTAGTGTCCCACGCGCCGGGAAGCCAGAGAAATGAGTGGATTATGTGAGCAGGATTATATAGAGACAGGTCCATTTACATAACGCGAAGAATGCTCAATCAAAGTACACTCACACATTGCCTGTCCGGTAGAGGTAGCAATAGGTACTAAATGATTTTTTCACCCCACTAGATCGGAAAGATGATCTTTCTCATTAGAAATCTGCGCGCAAAAGCGTTTTCACCATGCTCGCGTGGAAAAGGTTTTTGAAATTCGAACATGGCGATGGACTGTGGTGCACCTAACTTTCTTTCGATG